GCTAAGTCTGTCTGTCTCTGTCTGTCTGTCTGTCTGTCTGTCTGTCACGAAATTCCGTATTAAGCGGACAACAACCTACTGGGTCCAGGTCATGTTTGGGATGGGTGTACCATATCTCGAGAAGTAAAAAACATACATTACCTAAGCGGAGCCCCGCCCACAGTGGGCGTGGCGTGCGTCGAAATGAGTGGTACTGAGGACCATGATTTCAAATTCAGTCACAAAACAGCCTCGAGACCGGGACAAAAGTGGGCATAGGTGTGGGTTGGTAAGCCAGATTGAACTGAGGAGACCCACCCTCGGTGGGCGGGGCGTTCTCTAGAAAATGGGTGCTCAGTGAAAATATTCATAACTCGGTTAAGAGGAAGCCTACAGACCAGAAACGAAATTAGTGCAGGGGAGCAATGCCTAAGGTATTTCCACCACGCATGATGTGAACGGAGGCCCGCCCACAATGGGCGGAGCGTGTCGTGAAGCGGACAGCATTTTCTACAAGAGCTCATAAATCGGCTCCGAGATGACTTAGAGACCGGAAAACAACGGATAGAGGTCAGGAGGGGAGGGGAAGCTAAATGTCAGGGATGGGCGTGGCTTACATCAAAGTGGGCGGAGTTTGCAATTAGGCTTATAACTCGGTTCCTAGGAGTCCCGGAGTCCGGGAAAAAAGCGTATGAGGGTTGGCAGAGGGAAAGGGGTCAACCGTTGTTGGCGGGCGGAGCATGCACCAAAGTGGGCGGGGTTTGCCACGGTACTTCATAACTCGGTTCCAATAAGTTCCAGAGATGGGAAAAAGTAGAAAAAGGTTGGGGAAGAGATGATAGCCGACTGATATCAGTGGGCGACCCACGCACCAAAGTGGGCGGGGTTTGCCACAAAGATACGTAGCTCGATTTCGTCCCCTACAAGACCTCATAATTCGGCTCCGAGATGACTTAGAGACCTGAAAAAAATACGCCAGAGGTGAAAGTAGGAGTAGAGGTTGAATGTGAACGCTGGGCGTGGCACACCCGGATGTGGGCGGAGTTTGCCACCGCTCTCATAACTCGGTTCCTAGAAGTTCCGGCGACCGGGGAAAATGTGCATAAGTATTGAGGTATGGAGTAGGGTTGAATGCCATTGTTGGGCTAACCATGCACCAAAGTGGGCGGGGTCTGCCTCAGAAATTCGTGACTCATAACGCCATTTACAAGACCTCATAATTCGGCTCCGAGATGACTTAGAGACCTGAAAAAAATACGCCAGAGGTGAAAGTAGGAGTAGAGGTTGAATGTGAACGCTGGGCGTGGCACACCCGGATGTGGGCGGAGTTTGCCACCGCTCTCATAACTCGGTTCCTAGAAGTTCCGGCGACCGGGGAAAATGTGCATAAGTATTGAGGTATGGAGTAGGGTTGAATGCCATTGTTGGGCTAAGCCATGCACCAAAGTGGGCGGGGTCTGCCTCAGAAATTCGTGACTCATAACGCCATTTACAAGACCTCATAATTCGGCTCCGAGATGACTTAGAGACCTGAAAAAAATACGCCAGAGGTGAAAGTAGGAGTAGAGGTTGAATGTGAACGCTGGGCGTGGCACACCCGGATGTGGGCGGAGTTTGCGGCGTAAGTAAGATGTACCGAGCAGAAAGCTAAAATCAAGACAAAAATACTGATGGGCCCGATTTTACCGCTGCAGCCCCGTCTCATGCACGCGAATGCGTGCGCAGCCAAACTGGTAAATAATAATATAAATAAATAATCAATCCGACCATGATCATGAAACTCAAGTTTCACAAGAGAAATTTCGTTTCCCACCAAAAATCTTCCCCTTTTTTGCCTAGATTCCCCAGAGCAGACTAAGAGAAAAATGAGCACATTCTTCTTTCCAGTCAGCAGGTTTTTATACTGGTATGACCGCATTCTTTGGATTCCATTCTATCGTCCGTTCTATCGAAGCTTCTGCGAAACTCATTGGATTACGTGCCAACTGAAAGATAAGAGCGATCTCGCGCATTCCAGCATAGAAAGCTGCCTGGGAAAGAGCCTTCTGATCTGATATACGTGACACACTGAAAAACAAACTATAATCTCAGTAATCTATGAATCATGCTTCATATTCCAACAATCTGTTTGATGGTCGCTCTTTGCGACACCTCCCGGCGAGCAAAGCGCCCTCCAACCTTCATCACTCGCAGGGAAAATCGTCGAAACCTCATCCTTCCGGAGTGCGATGGGGCACTATGGCCTCTACTGTGAGTTGTTCTGTGGGGTGAATTCTTCGTTCAGGAGCTCCCCTGACGCACTCTCTCCAATCTCTCTTCACTTCACTTGGTGCCTTGAATGGGGTGGCCGTTGCTGCTCCTTCACGCTCATGTCACCGCTCTCTTGGCTTGAGCACTCGCGTGCTAACAGCCGGCCCGAAGACGAACTTCTCTGCGTTTCTGCTTTGCAGCTTCTCCTGTAAAGGCGTCCATCTCCATTTTCTTCGCCTTGGCGACGGAAGCTTCGCATTCTTCTTGCAGGTTTGTAGGTAGCGAGGTCCTCGGGGCTTCCGGTCTTCTGCCAGCGCTTGTATGCTTCCTTCTTCTGCTTCACGACTCGCTGGACCTCCTCGTTCCAGAACCACGCTGCCTTGTCTCCTCTGAATTCCACCTCGCGTCTCGCCCAGTACCTCCTTGGCGCATCGTAGGATGATCTCAGCTGCATTGCTCCAAGTCTGCTGGACTGGTCCGTGTGGATCTGGGAAGCTAGTTTCGAGTACCCTCCGTTTCAGGTCTTCCTTCTCAACTCAGGTTCAACTTTCACCACCGAATTCTCCGCTCGGTTCTTACCCTAGCCTTCTTTTGGAGGCTTATGGTGATGTCTGCCAGGAGTGGCCTGTGCTGGGAAAGCCAGTTCCTTGCCGAGGATACTTGATATCTTTCAAGGTTCTGAAGGATGACCGTTTACAAGCACATGGTCGATTTCCGTCTGTCTCCCTCCGCTGCTGTAGGTTACCTTTTGAGATTCCCTTTTCGCGAAGAACGTGCTGCAGACTGCCAAGTCGTGGGCTGTAGCCAGGTCCAGAACCCTCTCTCCCTCAGCGTTCCTCGTTCCTATCCCTCTACATCTTGCACTTGTTTCCAGGCCTCTCTTCTGTCTCTGCCGACGTGACTATTCAGATTACCTGCCATGGTGAAGTAATCACCATAGAGCATCACCAAAGTTTAGATAGAACTCGTCCTTCTCATTTTCAGGGCAACCGGATTGCGGTGTGTACACGGAGAGTATGGTCTAGTTCCCCCTCATTCGTGTTTATCCTCACAGCCATAATTTGATCGGTTTACAGCAGGGGGGCAATCCTTGAAAGGACTCCGGTACTGCCATGCCGGGCTAACCAATGCCGTACTTTCTTGGTGAGGAAGAGTCTATTATGGTTTGGGATAGAAATTCCTCCAATGTATTCTTGTGCTCTGGCGGACGACTCACGTTTCTGGTCCCAAAACCTTTGCTCGAACCCGAGGAGGTATTTTCGTGATGTTGTTTTGATATCTCCGTTTTACAGGAAATTGTGTCGATAAATGTTGTTGTTGAGAAGCTAGTCTCCGATCTGATCTTTTGCCATGTTTGCTATAGGTGATGTTATTACGAGTGAAATTTCCTTTGATCTGTTATGATAGGGCGGAAGTGGTGTAGTGGCAAGTGGCACGCTTACCACGCGAGCGGTCCGGGGATCAAATCCTGGGTCGTGAGTCGCCCGGGCCAACCAAGCCTTCCATCCCTCCGGGGTCGGTTAATTGGTACCAGACTTGTCTGGGAGGATAAAAACACTGACTTGTACATCGGCTGGCCCCGCAAGTCATTGTATAGGCCACATCGCATTCAAACGCCACTACGAATGTACAAATGGAAGTAGAATGCGTGCCGCATCCCAAAAGGGATTGATCAACGGCAAATGCTTTATCCTTTATCCTTACTGTCTGTATTAGACCCGTACACAGAAATTCCATACTTGAACCACGTATACAATTAATCTTTTATTTAGTACACTAGTAATAGTGATCTAGTAGAAAATCGTCATGAAATGCGTTTTCATTCTGTTTCTAATTGAGAAACATCACAAGTATTACTACAAAATTAATTAAGGTCCTCATATGCACAATTGAGACTTTTCTATCCGTTTCTAGATCTTCTAGCAGAGCTGGCTCGCAGTGACGGTCTTGCAGAGCAGCGATTACTGGATATGCGTTGTCGATTTGAGCTAGAGTTCTTGGCGGCTGGTGCTTGAGCTGAGTTGACTTCTGATTCCCTTTACTGTCGACACTTTTCCTGCTCTACAAAAATTACTTCTGAGCAATAAACATGATCTTCTTCTAGTGCTACGTAGAGCATGTCGAACTGAAGTGACGTGATCTATTTTTTGTTTGTACTATCTTGTTTTTATGTATTTGTGCTATTTTGTCTGTTTTCACTTTAAAGGACGAATTCACGCTGGAAAGGCAACCCATTTCAAATTAACCTAGGGATGGTGAGTGGTACACGAAAGAAGGAAGAACCATGAGAAACGGCCCAGAACCCGAGAAATGGGACCCCTTCCTTGCCCGTTGATTTGAGCATTCGACTCTAATACTGTTCATTTATTCAAGATTATTTAGCTTGTGACCCATAAGTATACATTTTCTTATACGTTGATGTTTTTCCACTTATCAGCACCATCACTCGCGAATCCCTGCTCAGCACCGCATAAAAGACCTTGAGCTGGGGCAGATGGTGCTGTTGAGCTTTGCGTAGTGGTCGTATAAGTACAAGTTTTCCCAACAAACTGTTGGAAAGCTCGAGTCCCGTGTGGTACAAGGAAATGAGGTCTACCACAGAATTCGCTGCAGAGCATGAGTTAGGGTGCCTCAAAAGTTCGTGCCACTTTGAAACATTTTTTAAGACAATATTATTATTTCAACGAATAGCAATATCCATCACAAATACAGGGGCCATCACAATCAGTGACTTGACAACGGAAAATGAACGATATAAAAGTAGGACTCACCGACCCTTTCCTCATAGATGATGGCGACGGATGTTGTCCCTGAATCGTTAAGAGGTTTGCCAAGCACGCGAAGAGGAGCTGGCTTTCAAATGCACAACCCAAGTTTTGTTTCTTGGAACACCAGACAGTATGAACTCATTACTGGGGTCATTTTGTTCACCAGGGGATGGCTCCTGCTTTCTAAGGAAGGTGAGCAGAAACCCATCGATGAACTTCCCATGGCTAAAGAGCAAAGTTCAATAGGCGCCATCGACGTTACCAGTCCTAACGGCGAGATTGGTGTGGTGACATTACGCGGAATCTTGGGATAAGATAGTCCACAATAATATTACCACTTGCTCGCCCGATATCCGCGACGTTCTACGACTACCAGGAAGGTCTTTCAGGGCGTGACAAGCTTTTTGAAAACGGTCTTTTGCATGATATAGGGGCAGATGCGGGAACCACAGAACCATGTTCAATTTTTCCTGAACGGCCCTCTGAATACCAGAAAAGGAGGTCCCTAGTTCGATTCCTCGTGGTAACAAATTTTTGCATTTCGAGTTGACGTGCCAAAATTCGCGCAAAATGGAGTTAGAACCAACCAGAACAATCAGAACTCCATTTTGCGCGAATTTTGGAACGTCAACTCGAAATGCAAAAATTTGTCACCAAGAGGAATCGAACTAGGGACCCCTTTTCTGGTATTCAGAGGGCCGTTCAGGAAAAATTAAACATGGTTCTGTGGTCCCCGCATCTGCCCCTATATCATGCAAAAGACCGTTTTCAAAAAGCTCGTCACGCCCTGAAAGACCTTCCTGGTAAGATTCGCAGGCAACTCCAGGTATATTTATCACACATAGCTCTGTAAACACTCGGCCATTCTCCTGAATTTTGATAATTTAGCGGTGAATAGGGTTATGGTGTTAGCCTCACAATTAAATTGCAACATTATCATAAGTGAGCATCTAATGCTGATCCTTCATTCACAGTGTTCGCAAATCCTAAGCTTTGGCGGTCATTAAATGAGTTCTGGTCTTCTTGGTATTAGATCAAGAATGGAATGTACCATTCGCCAAGAGTCTGCTCAAGCCAAGCTGATTATATCGATAGAATGTCCACGACCCACCCCTAATAACACTTATGAAAAGAGCCCCATAGTGCCAACGTGAACTGCGCAATGGAATTGCCGACTTCTGCCTTCTAAGACTCCTTATCAGCCCCTATCAGTTGCTATCATTTTTGTCGCCCACCTACAATGTCCAGGTACCACCCCATATAACACTTGTAATTATGAACGCTCAAGTGTCAATGTCAGCTGCTCAACGGAATGGGGACTTGTGAGTTCAAGGCGCAACGAAAGTAAAAGGAAACAAAGGGAAGTAATCGACGAATACACAGGCGCGGGAAGCAGTAAACGACTAAAACCTCGCTCGAATTTGTCGCGCGGTTTCCCGCACGCGGCAAGCCGCGTGTACGACGTCGCGCGGTGACTGCCCGCAGGCCACCTAATCCTAGCTATGCATTTATAGCCCAACCCCGAAATGAAAATGGTGATCCCTACTGAATGCTTTGTTCTATACGACTTGGTTACGGAAAAGTGGTATCACAATCACGATATCTTTCGCCTCTAGTCGACCATTTTGCGGACGGACAGACAGACGTGCAAACACACACACACACAAACAAACCGACACACCAAACTTCTGGTTTATATAATGAAGTGATTGAATAAACCACATTGTGATCGTGCGTGTGTGGTGTGTGGTAGTGCGTTCTGGTCCGTCTGGCCACGCTCACAAAACCAGAGATACAAGGCAACACTTTGGCCCCTTCATTAAGTGCAACGCCGGGGGATCAGAGTCAACCCTGCGTTGCGCAGTTCTCAACGGCCACGTTGCGCAGTTTCGCCCGATTAGACACGTTCTCTCGCGCGAACATTCACACTCGCATGCTCGAGCCGTCTGCGTCTCCGCCCATACAGCGTGCGTTGAGGATCTCTCAACGTGCCGTTGCGAACTGGCTACGTTCATAGTTACGATCCGGGGATTAGGATAGTACGCGACAATGAAAAACATATGTATTGACGGGGAGATTAGGATAGTAGTAGATTAGGATAGTAGTAGAGTAGGAGATTGCGCTGACAAGATTAGATACGTATCGATTGAAAATCGCCGGAGAGTAGTAGATTGCGATATTACGATAGTAGGATAGGATAGTAGTAGATTAGGATAGTGCGCTGACAAGATTAGATATGTATTGATCTATTCGCTTGAAGTCGCCCAATCTACTACTCTCCAGCGATTTCAATCGATACGTATCCAATCTTGTCAGCGCAATCTCCTACTCTACTACTATCCTAATATCCTGTCGCCTACTATCCTAATCTCCCGAGTCGCGAACTATGAACGCGGCCTTGTTGATGTTGATGTCATGGTATAACTTAAATACCCACAGCGCTTATATCACAACGATCGAGCTACACTCACCTGTCTACATAGTGGCTCCCGTGGCAACGGATGAGCGGGCAAGGGGGGGGGGTAGAGGGAAGAGGGGTAGGGGGAAGGGGGCAAGAAAGGGGAAGGGGAGGGGAGGGGGGAGAGAAAGAGGGAGGGGGGGAGAGGAGAAAGGGAGGAGAATGGTGCTGCCATGCGCCGGAGAGAAGGGGTATAAGGAGGTATAACACATTCAATAGTGAGGTGGTTAATGGAGTACGTCATGCTGCTATTCCGTGGTTCCTCCCTACCCTGTGATGCGCGCGATAGCGGGCGGAGCAAACCTGGTTTGCTAAAAATCAGCATTCTAGAAACGTAAGCTCACCAATGGGCAGCTTTTACTACGTCGTCCTGTTGAGGGAGCTTGACGAGAAGGTGCAATCGCAGTGGCGGAAGCCGCACTCATGGAACCTTCAGGTCGATTGGCAGACTCGGCTGATTTCGGCAGGAATCTAAAAATGCGAACAACATACACTTTTAATGACCGTTGCCCTAACCGTCCGAAGCGTAGGAACAGACGAGGGACCTTCATGGATCAACTATTGCACCAGCTGCACCGCCGCCACAAGCCCGACTCTATTACGTGGATATGCTAATTTTGGTTACTATGGCTGTCTCCCTAGTAGTTACTCACAGTTCTGGAGGAGCATTGACAAGATAGCGAGCAACTTGTGCCATTGATGGTCTCTTGACGGGATTCGCTCTCCAACAGGTTTTCATCACTCTGTAGATAACAATGGGAAGAGTAGCATCAGTTGGTGGACGAAATTTAGGGTCCGATATCTGTAATAGTACAAAAGTACTTAATGATAAAGAGCAATTCTAGCTCAGTGGTTAGTACATGACAGATTCTTACCTTTTCTCTGACAGTTTTATTATCAATCCCCTTATAAGGCGTTTCACCGTTATTGAAGATCTCCCAAAGAAGTATTCCATAAGAATAGACATCACATTTGGCTGTATACACTCGTGTCGAGATTACTTCAGGGGCTTGCCTGTAGGAAATGATAGCTTAGTGGTTAAACGATTCATATTAAACAGGAATTTATATACAATATGTTCATGAAGGTTTTCTTCAATACAGTTTTTGTATAGAGTTGTGGTGACTACCACATCGAAGTTCATTATCCCTCTGTGCTTTTGAAAATGCCAAAGTGGAAGGAAATTTATGGAAAGAGCAACCCTATAGTATTTTATCGTATCATATATATTATGTGTAGTAAGTCAGGTCACATGAACATTCATCCGGTTCTTCCAATACGTTCGTTGCATTAGAAACAATAAGCTGTTCCCCAAGGTACACCAAGAACTGCTCAGGGTTTGGTATAAGGTCTATGAACAGGAAAGGCTCACGAAATTTCGGCTAGCACAGCCTCTTTGTCGTTTTCTCGGTTGACAAGTTGTTTCTCTAGTCTTGTACAATAGGAAGGACTTTCAGTCGCTTTTTTAGGGACTTGCATGCATCCACTCTTGCACCAGTTTGGAGGCAAACACCAGGATTAGCACGACTAGATCATGCCAGCTTCGATACCCAATTTGCGAGATTCATCGACCTTCGCTGCAACGCTTCCCACGGGTACCCCCCAGGAGGCCCGTCGCGCGGCAAGAAGGCAAAGTCAGCGGACGAGTCGCGCGCGTACTATAGGGATTTCGCGTCAAGTTAAATAGAGTGTCCCACTGCACGTCCTACATCGCACACCACGCGCTGCAACTCGTCCGCCGACTCTGCCTTCTTGCCGCGCGACGGGCCTCCTGGGGGGTACCCGCTTCCCACGTACCCTGTCAATATAGGGATCGGCGTGCTCCCTCTCGTGTTTTGTCTTCTTTGATCGCCCTGTCCCATCGTACCACCTCCCACGTCACAGTAGGTTAATACCTTAACTTGAGCAATTCCGATGACTTCTCGTTCTCCTTCCGGCTTTCGGTTCATTCTCAGCTGAGCCATCACTACGAAGCGCCCCTATACACCAATTTGTACCAAAGCTTCTCTTTAACGTGGTCGCTCCAGCGCATTGAATAGCTGATGCCTTGCTAGACAAATGCAATTTAGACCCACTACCACTATGAAGCCTTCGGCACCCATGGTGTGGAACGATGCCCTAGCCCTAGTCAAGAGCATAATAAGTGTGACTGGAGTAAAACCTCACCTTGAAAGCTGAGCTGGAGCTGAACGGCTTCCAAGTGGGCGTGGTTGAATCGGCTGAGGGGATTGCACAACGGCCGATTCAACCACGCCCACTTCGAAGCCGTTCAGCTCCCTTTCTAGCGGCTTTCCAAGGTGAGCTTTTTGTTCAGTCACACTTGTTATCGCGGAAACACCGCGATGTCATTGACCGATCGTCTGATTAGCCAGTCAAAGGAGCGGTCACCTTATGATCGTGATCGCGCGCCAAAGGGCGCTATAAAAGAGCCTCGAGGGACATCGAGAACCCAGTTCTTCTCCGCGCCCTCCCGATAGCTTTTGCGATACTGCGATATTCAGAGTTTGCGATTACCATTACCTATGCCTACCCTCTTGCGAAGCTTACTCTTGTTTTAGCTGTTCCTCTCACTCTATTTAGCGGTTCTTGTTCTGAAGCATTATTCATTCTTGTGCCTAATCCTATATTGTTATGTTGTTGTTCGCTCATTATTCTGATACTCAATGTTGGTCTCTGCCTCATAACTCTTACCGGTACTCAGAAGATGTTATTTTTGTTACTTGCTGATATTTTGTTACTTTGACGATGTTGTGTTAATCGTTCCTCGTTACATGAAGTTTAATTACCCAAGTTTGAGATTAACAAGCCCGCGTGGCACGACACACATACACAAGCAAGGGTTCGATCGCCCCCAACCATTTCACTTGTTGTATTCTTGACTAGGGCTGGGGCATCGCTCCACACCATTAGTGTCGAAGTCAAAAACCCTGCTGAGACTGTTGCTCTAAGAAAACTTCCTCTCCATCCGCCAGCAAATCAAGTTTCTACAAAGAATTATTCGCTATAGCCTTTGAGCTAAATTTGCGAATCAAGCGGATCATTCTTCTTAAAGGCGTGATTTACGCTGTAAGGGCCACCCATTTCGAATTAAGTTGAGAATGGTCAGCGTACAAGAGAGAAGGAAAAATCCGGACTCCGGGGAAAGGTACCTCTTCCTTGCCCGCTGGTTTCCGCATTGATGCGACTTCATTGTGTCCTCTTCAATGCTAACAGCCTATACGCTATGTCGGTGGCGTACCGCATCACTGCGCCAAGAGTGAGCCATGCCAGATCGCTGAGGTGAAATCCTTCGCTGCCAATTTCGCATCGGTCCACACCCTCAGGGGGTCTCCAAGCTAGGCAATTTCCCTTCTTTGACCTTCATACCTACGTTAAATTCTCCTTTGAAACCGAAAGCAAGTTCCTTTGAGCATTTATAGAAAGAGTGGCCAATCCCTTACTCTGATCACTGCCATATCCAAGAAGAACTTGATTTAATAAATACACGATGAGCAGAGTATGCATTCATCTGTTTTTCTGACTAACGTAAGTGCAATGATTGGGCACTCTAGCGTTGGCACGTTTGAGAATGATGGAGATACGTATGGATAATAGTACTTCTCTCCAGTTTTCGGTGCCCTCGAAGCCGGCATTAATTATGACTTATCGTTAGACGTGAAGCCCCTTTTGAGAATGACCTGACGCAAATAAGATTAGGAGCCATATTGGCATGAGAGCCCCGTTCTACCCTTACAGAATTTTTTCAACAAAAGCTCCGGCAGCTGCACTCGGTATGATATCGTTACAGGTGCAGTATGATCTTAAATGGCTGCGGCTGTTTTATTTTGAGGTACTCAACAAACGGGGCTCGACATTGGCTTTTCAATTCGTGCCTTGCCTAACCATGATTTTGAAAACAAAGCAACGACGGAATATAGTACTATTTCTTGACGATGTACATATTTAAACCTTACCATTTGATTGGAAGTTTCTCTGTTCCGGGTATCTTATAGAAGTCTCCCTGTTTAGACAATCCGAAATCGCTAATTTTCACGGTACCCTTTGGTCACATCAATGAGGCAGTTCCGACAGGCAATATCCCTATATGAATACAAAAAATGAAGAGAGTTTAAAGACCTGGGACGGTAGTAAAGTGCCATAGACTGGGAGTTAAAGGTGGTGAACTACGGCCGTGAACGGCGAATAATGAAAGTAGAAAGCAAGGTAGTAACCTATGAGGGTTGCAAAACATCCAGTATCATGGAGAACTGATCCCGCGAGCGATCCAATGTCAACAAGGAACGAACCCACTGCGCCAATCGACGTGTTTGAAACCTGGGATCATGGCCTAGATGATTGTACAGTAGTGAAATGCTCCCAGGACCAAGGAAGGAGCTATAACACGATCAATAAGTGGAACACTGCGGGGGACAGCTGATCACCTTATTGGCAGAAAGTTATCAATA